AATTGCCCTATACGAGTTGATTTCGCAGAGTTTGGGAGTTTTCGTGGAATGGTGTACTCATTTTGATCACAGAAGACTAAAACCTCTCGCATTTTCTCACGATATCACCGAATTCTCACACCATTTCCCCAACTATTCACAAATTTCGAAATCCTTACTTGAAAAGATCCTACTAGAAAGAATAATCTCGCAATCGCAATCGACTTGTACCGTAGCCTCATTTGTCCTCTTTCTCGTTTTTCTTCACTACCAATTGACGTCTTTCAGATCCGTCGCTGCCCTCTTCTCATTTTCTGTAGTGGCGCTCTGTTCAACATCAAAAATGGGTCAGGTGTTGAACTGCGGGAACATCCTGCAACGAAAAGTCAGCGACCAACAGCAGCAAATCCATAGTGTTGTCACAGAAAAGTATTTTCAACTTCTTCATTCTGCTTGGACTTAAAGAGCATTGTCAGTGCGTAGTGATAGATTATTGGTGAATAAAGTCATATTTATGTTGACAGATTCTGTGCACAGTATGTTTACTCAATCCTGTCTAAATTTGCTGTGTGGTTTACATTAACTAGGTTCTTCAATGGATGTCTCTTGTACCTGACATTAGGTACTGGACGGAGGTAGTGCAGTGACAAGTGGCTCACCATTACAAGGTTCAGGGGTCGAACACGTTACGACTAGGAATTTGATCAGCTCATTCGCATTCCATTGACAGAAGGTAGTCAGTATAATAACTGGACTGGAGTGCAGTCTGTCGTAGAGCGAAGTTCATGGCAAATTCTAGGCCTAATGACAAATTTCTCAAGCGAGTCTGCCTATAATGGAGAAAAAGCTGAATAGCTTGGGTCACAATATTACACCATTTTTGTGTGATGCGGCCCATCCTGACCATGGGAGTAAGAAACACTTCGGATCACTTCGACGACTCGTTTTTTCTCAGATGTAACTCTGTCACAATGTTATAATGCAGCACAGGCTCTGAGAACAATAGAACCAGTTCGACAAGAAAAGCAGAATCTGTATTGTGCGTTTAGACTTTATCCGTGCGATGGCCGACCCATGGTTGATAGGAGCACATCAAAACGTAATGAAAATTACAAGCAAAAGTACAGCCAAATAAAGTACACAGTCCCTGGTTGATGTGAGTAAAATCTACTTGCGTGACTTCACCTGAACACGCACAAATGATGATCTGTCCTGAATCATTGAAATTCTGAAATGCTCAGTTACCCATTACTTTCTTCTTGTCATGTTCACGACCGGTGACTGAAAAGGAACCTAAAAAAATCACTATCACTATCTCTACCCTGATCTGCCAGCCAGTTTCATAGTCCCTCATCGGGGCAGGAAAGAATAGAGTCATCTTGTCCTGGCCTTGTAAAGAAAAACGTTCTAACAGATAGCTGTCTCACTGAAAACATTATAACATCAAGCTGGCCGTTCCGGCTTTGGAGACACTTTCCATGATCGGGTAAGCTGGATAAAGTAGGCATCCGATGCTCCACGATGATCACTGAGGGCTCTGTTCTCAATGCCAGTTGCGATGCTTGATTTTTTCCGGAAAATCGAGATAATGTTGGCAGCCACTCCAAGACTGACAGCGAATACCGATGTGATAATGACGAAGGATCTTAACATGTACATAGTTTTAACTCAGTCAGTAACGCACAACGACTGTATATGGAAGTACGTATGTGTGTATTTGTGTATCGTGAGTAGTGTTTGTATGTATTAAGGACGTCATGTCACTTACATGGCAACGGAGACATCTACGATCTGATGGCTCATCTGATTCCAGTACAACAAGTGAGCCAGCACCGTTTTGGCGAGAGCAAATGAGCAGCAAGAAATCACAGAGCTGGTGGTCCACATAAGTGATAGTTGGGTCAGCACCTCAAAGAATTGCTTTAACCCAATTTATACACATATACTTTAATTCACAAATAAATAAATACATATGTATATGTATATAGTGTCGGTTGGATAGCTCAGACGGTGTCACAACCCAATGATTACCCTAGGTCGTTCATAAAGCTGAAAAAGCCTATGAGACAACCATTAAGCCCCTAAACTGACACTTGTACATTCTGTTAGCTGTCCCACCCTTCAGTGAAAGATCTCTATGGAAATATTCGATTTTTTGCGTTGATGCATATTCATGCTAAGCAATTTCTAGAAGTGATCCCACTGAAGTCTAGAAAAAACTTGCCTTCATCATTCTGAGATTTTCTTTCAATTGAAATTTTGTGCTCAGAGTGTAAGCAGTATCTTCATGGTATAAACCCTTGTCCAAAGCTCGCATTCTTCTGAGATCTCGACGAAAAAGTATTACATAGGCCACGCAATAGGCCACAAAAAACGAGGCAGCTGCAGTCGTGATGATGGCCGGGTTGATTCGACCTCAAATAAAATCATTGTTTACCGAAGTAATTGTTCCTGTAAAAAGCTATTTTGCCGATTTTGCCTTTGCCTCTTGCGCCAGAAGCAGTAAGATTGGGCGTTGTACTATAATATGATTAACGATGTTGATTACGCCAAGAAATCGAAGATCAGGTGGGCCGGACACGTTATGCGATATAGTGATGACCGTTGGG